GTCGTGCCCCACCAGACCTGCCTTCCCTCTGCCCCGCTGGTATCTCCAGCGGAGCGTCCTTTGTTCTCCCGGTAATGGCCGGCGTGCCAGCGCGAGAGATCTCCGATGAAAAGGCGTCGTCGTGGTCGTCGTCGTCCCGGCGAGAGCAACCCTCGCCGGCCGCGCAGGCGTCAGCCGATCTATCGATGCCGACGAGAAAAGTGCGTGCCGCCGAGTTCAGGCGCCTCGCCGAGCGAGCGGGCCGCGGGCCCGGGCGACCGAATATGCAAATGAGTTGCCGCTCGCTCTTCCGCGCTGCGCCTAACGCAGGCACACACAGGCGCACAGACGTGCGAGCCCGGGTGAGAAAGGCGACCGGGTTCGAGCTAAGCCCTCGGCCGTACACACATCGATTGTCGAGTCTGCGCCGTGCTCACTGGAGCAGTATACGCTCTCGCCATCTTTGGTTTACCGTTGGCGCCGAGTGCCCTCGACCACAGTGCGCGGGCGTTTTTTCCACTTTACAGGAGTAGTTCGTATGAACGCACTTTTGGCGTGTTGCAGCTTTAGCTTCTATGCGTATGCGATGCAGCTGCTGAAGTTTTCGCGCTGCCTAACGAAGCTGTTGAAATCGGGGGTTACTTCGACGGGTGCCTATAATCGAACTGGAAGACATTATGTCGCTACAGACGGGGATCTAGAAGAGTGAGCTGAAGTTCCTAATGACGTGACAAGACGCTGATGCAGTCTGTGGAACGCTCGCGCGTGGCATCTTCCTGGGTGTAGCGCACCTAAGCGCTTATTTCGCCGCATTCGTATTTTTCGAAGAAAACAAACGAACGAAAAAAAGGAGACGGCCTCTATGTTTGTATAAATGACGACCATAATCGCCTCGGGCAGTTCCTCTACGCACCTTTTCAAAAGCGTTTGAGGACGCCTTCATTACAGTGTTTGTATGTTATGGACGCGCACTTTCTGGCTGGCCGGAATTGCGAGCGAGCGCTGGCTGTGATTTAGCACGTGTGGACCGTGATTTTTGTTAATATTAGAAACGTCTATACCGGTACATCCTATGCGACAAGACGTGTTTTCGGTGACGCGTGTTCTCCTAAATGTTTTGGGAGAGACCCTGCTGATCGTGCAGCGGGCCTGGAGAGCGAGCGGCAGGCCTTCCTTGTGTTGAAATCAGCTTCAACGTGCACGAGCTCCAACGCTGAAGAAGCGCATTCAAGAACCACGCATGCGCCCGTAGCCTTCGGTGCACGAAGGCGAAGCGAATAAGTGGTCTTCACTTCTGCTTCACTTCAGCGGTGTTTTGCGTGACGTTCAGCTCTATGCGAGCAGCAGCAGCAGCAGCTTGCCTATCAGGGCATGAATTGGGTTGGCAACATATTTTCTTAACACGTGAGCAGCTGTACGAGTCTACGTGGAGCACAAGTTCGTTTGCTTCTTTTTGCAGAGGTTGCGGTGACGTCAGGAAGCTTTGATTGGCTCTTATCTAAATATGATGGGTAGACCTCAAAGCAAGCTGCCTCGAGATCCACTCCACTATCCTTCAATCAGAGCCAATTTGAGCTCGGCGTCTTTCTGACGACAACACAACTTCCTGAAAAGGAAGCAGAGAAACTTGCACACCCCGCAAACACCAACGCACTGCTGTCAAACAAGCCCGCGCTTGCTATAGACCGCTTTGGGACTTGATCTGAAAATGAGTTCGCAGTTTGTTCTTGCGCGCTATAGCCCCCGTCATTCACTGTGCCTGGAAACTTTTTGTGGGACGCTGAAGGTATACACAACCGCGTGGGTGATTAGGCTGCGAACTCCAAGGTTGTCTTGTCGTCCGCATACACGTATATTTGCCTTCATACCTAGCGAGCGGGCGCTCGACAGAAGTGCAATGCGAACCCTCTTCCTCGTATAATTAGTCTTACAATGACCTATTAAATGGGTCCATGCAACGATATTCACTCGGAATCTGTTTCACTTTACACGAGCTTATTGGCACTATATAGTGCAGTGGTCGGCAGCCAGCGGCCCGCGGGCCGGATCCGGCCCGCGAGGCAGTATCATGTGGCCCCCAGTCCCCCAGCGAAACCCCTCTCCCCCCCCCCCCCCCCTTCCCCCCCGAACGATTCCGAGTCAAGAGGTCCAACGCGTCAAAAGGTGCAACGAGTCAAGAGGTCCAATATTGGACCTCTTGACGCGTTGGACCTCCCGACGCTTTGGACCTCTTGATTCGCCGTGGATCTCTTGAGTCGTTGGACCTCTTGACCCATATTGGATCTCTTGACTCGTGCCTCGATGTGTCAAGAGGTCTAATATTCCTAGAGTTCTTTTTTTATTATTATTATGTTGGATTGTGTTGGACAAGTCACGGATTTTGACGACGGATTTTGCCGACGGCTTTTTCGCTGACTGAGGCAGGTAATGCTCACGCATTAAAAAGGCAGACAGCAGAGATGCTAAAAATAAAGTCGGAGAAGAAAATGTCGGAAAAAGAGCAAAAAGGTTGAGCTGTGAAGAGTTCCACACGGCAGGGGGGATCTCACGAACACGGCTTTGATACATCGTTTCTGGCCGGTGATGTAATAAGTGTTTGTGCGTATGACCCGTGATTTGCTTGGTTTCTGAAGCGACAGATGCGCTGGGCTCTGGGGTTCGCATGCTGGGCACTGGATTTTGAAACACCGGAAATCATTGTTGTTATAAACTGTCAAGCTTATAGCAATATTCGTTTGTTGGGGACCTGTGTGCCTTCTCTCTTCTACCCCTGACCATAAAGTCGTAAATCTGCATCTCCCGTGTTGCTCTCCCCCGCGAATATCGAGATTTTAGATGCATTTTTTTAAGAAGTGACTACTTCGACACCCGGGTTCTAAATAATTGTAAAACTATTTTGAACACATATTTCGTCACATACAAGAAATATGTCCATAGTTATTTGCTATTTCGACGTCTACCATCACACTAAAGCGCTATTACGGCGTTTGCCGTCAGGATAACTGAACGTAGTTTTTTTTTTGTGACATTATTTTTAAAAGTTGTAATAATTGTTTAAATTTGTTCACGTCTCGTCAAAATAGCTTCCTTGATATTTTGAAGTGGTTGGACTTCAAAGAACTTGAAGAGACAGTTTGCCCTGGCGCAGCATGGCATGTAAAGCTAGTCATTTTTCCATTCGCTATGGCCTAGCACTGGACATACTGGACACAGTAGAGATCTATCGGCTTCAGAGATCGACCTGCTTTCCGACATAAACAGTTCTTCAATCGACTTCAATCTCTATGACCCACTTTTCTAAAAATGATTGAGCAAGTAACCCACCATCTTACAATTCCCACCGACTAACACATCGCGTAATTTCAACTAAAAGTAAATGATATCGACAAACAAGTGTTAGGTAATTCGTGTCAAGAATGCTTAATCATGGAACGTTCAGTTTCATGGTTTATTTCACAGCATTCTCAAAAATAAAGAGCAGTAAAGGAGTTGCATATCGCTAGCATAAGTATTTGTGGCTGCTCCCTGTTTTTAAATGAGCCAACGGCCCAAATTAACCCGCTATAGCTTGCACCGGTCATAACGTTTCAAGGAGACAATGCTCGCATTCATTAGCAACACTCTATTGGACGCCAAGTGGCATAATTTGGGCTCGTTTAAAGACGCCCTCCAGTGATATTTGAGCATCTTCCCATGTTGTGTTATTTACCTCTTTAGTGAATCGGTGAACTCAGTGAATAAAAACTAAAGCATAAAATAGTAGTGCATCATATTTTTAATCAAACATACGAAAACCCGGGACTGGACAAAGTTACCCAAGAAAGTATCTTCGTTTACAAATACATGAAAGGAAAGGCTAAATGCAAGATGCTGAGGTACATTTGTATTTTATACCTCGGGAATATGACAGACACTTCCGTAGAAATGGTATAAATAAGTCCTAGAACCGAGACTGGAACACAGATATGAAGTTCTACAAGTCCAAAATATGTCGCCAGGCACTATCCATGATTTAACACTGAAATACATATACATTGTGGCAAATAGTATCTGTCTACTTGTCTCCAATGGCTATGTAGTACTTGTATTCTCCAAAATGATTCAAATAGGTCAAACAGTCAGTAACCGTCACAAGCAGTCATTAATAGAAATAGCATTATAAACAGAGAAGATAAAGATAAGACTCGATGGACCTCTTGACGCGTTGGACCTCTTGACACGTCGGACCTCTTGACTCGATGGACCTCTTGACGGGTTGGACCTCTTGACTCGATGGACATCTTGACGCGTTGGACCTCTTGCCACAAATTGGAGCTTTTGACTCGTTGGACCTCTTGACGCGTTAGACCTCTTGACTCGAATTGGACCTTTTCATTCGTTGGACCTCTTGACTCGGTTGTCACGTGGCTATTGGACCTCTTGACTCGTTGGACCTCTTGACCATAAGCGCAACCCAACGTGGTCAGCTAAAAAAGAAAGAAAAAAAGATAAAGCTGACTAATTCGCTGCCCGTTGCCTGCCTTTCCCCCCCCCCCCCCCCCCCTTCCCCGCGCTTTTTTTCTGCGCCTTTTTTTACCTTCACTGAGTTTAAACAAGGACAAAGCGCACTGCCAGTTGGCCATAGCCCGATGTCCTTACATTTGTGTAGATATCATCTTCACGGATATCCTAGCACAAAGGTGGGATACAGTACGAACTTGACTGGTCCAGAAGTGAAACTGCAGTGCTGGCATTAGAATGCTTTTTGTGACCGTCACTTGCAAAACTCGTTCTGTTTTGATGCTTGCTAGACGTCCAATCGAACAAAGTCACTGACGGCAAAATGTTTAGCACTTTGCTTGGACTCAATAGAACAGTCACTCCTTTCCGTCTGTTCGGACAGTCCGGTCGTCTCAATGGCCCTATTGACAACTTGAAAGGTAAGTTTCAACATTACGTGTTACTCACTTAAATTTGTTTTCTAGAATTCGCCTTTATAACAAGTGTACCTTCATTTTTTTTTCAGACTGTTCGTCTGCAACATGTCACTTTCTAAACGCGGCAAGAAGCGAAATATAGATTTGGAATGCCGGACATTCAATGATCAGTGGACAAATGATGATTTATTTGTTCAAAATAAGAATAAAGCGTTATGCTTCAACTGCAGAGAAGCGCTTTCAATATTTAAAGAATACAACTTGCGTCGACACTACCACTCTTACCATCGCGACAAGTACGACTCTCTGATGTCAGGAACCAAAGCCGCGAGAATCGAAAATTTGAAGAAGATCCTGGGCATGCAGCAAGACTTTTTCAAGAAGAATTTCCAGGAGAAGGTGGCTCTGGTTCAGGCCAGCTACTCAATCTCCAAGTTGATCACAAAGAGTGGGCGGACTTTTTCAGACGGGTAGTTTGTTAAAAGACGTGTTTGTTGACAGTGGCTGACGATCTTTTCCCGGATCAGAAGAATGTATTCAACGAGCTTAGTCTGTCGGCCCGCACTGCCACAAGGAGAATCTAAGACATGGGTGAACAGTCGTTGAGTACTTCAAAGGATGGTGCCCGAGCTTTCCAGTGCTTCTCTTTGGCGCTTGACGAAAGCAATGACGTCTCTGATACTGCTCAGTTGCGTATCCTTGTGCGGAGAATTGACACCAGGTTTGAAGTAACGGAGGAGCTAGCTGCTCTAAAAACCCTGAAGGGCACAACAAGAGGAGAATATATTTTTAACAAGCTATGCGAGTGTCTGGATATGCTAGAGCTAAAATGGGAAAACCTCGAAAGCGTAACGACTGATGGCGCAAGAAATATGATTGGCTGTAAAGCCGGTGTCGTCGGACGCATCAACTCAGAAATGACACGCCTGGGCGTTGTTGCTCCTATTCATCTTCATTGTATTATCCACCAGTAATCACTGTGTTCCAAAGTGGTGCGCTTGAAGTCCTTGATGAAGCTAGTCGTACCTACCATTTTTTGCAGTTACACCCTGAACCACCGTCAATTTTAACAGTTCTTGTCGGAAACAGAGGCTGAGTATGGGGATGTCCTGTACCACACAGAACTTCGATGGCTCAGCAAAGAAAAAGTTTTGCGACTTTTTTTTTTTTTTTTAGCTTCGTGAGGAAGTCGCGGTGTTTCTTCGCGCGAAAAGGAAACCTCTCGAAGAGCTTGCTGATCATGATTGGGTGTGGGAGTTGGCACTCCTGGCTCACGTTTCTCTGCACGTGAAGGACCTGAATGCAAAATTACAAGGGAAGGGGAAACTCGTGTCCGGGATGCTCGCAGAGGTGAGAGCTTTCAAGATGAAGCTCAGTCTCTTCCAAAACCAAGCTAGAGAGTCTAATTTTTATCATTTTCTTTGCTGCAAGAATTTTTCAGGCGAGACACCAACTCCACTTCCCACGAAAAGACTCTGCAAAATCTTGCGCGAATTGAAAAGTGAGTTTTAAGTTAGGTTTTCGGACTTTACGAAGCATTCGAGCGACATTTGTTTATTTGAAAATTCATATAATGCAGATCTTAGCCAGGTTCGAGAGTGTCACCAGATAGAGCTGGCCGATCTGCAAACAGATAATGATTTGACGAGCGCATTTGCAGCAAACGATCTTGTTACTTTTTATGATGGCCTTGCGGATTCTACGTCCATGAATCTTAATAAACTCGCAGCCACCATGATTACATTGTTCGGGAGCACACATGTCTGCGAGCAGACTTTTTCACGAATAAAGTGCATAAAATCCAACCTGCGCTCACGAATGACTGAAGAGAACCTCCACAACGTATTGCGACTCGCAGTTAGCAGCTTGAATGTGGATGTCCGTAGTTAGGCGAGCGCAGTTCAACACCAGAAGTCTCACTGAGAGGAATCTCTAGGTTTTCGTGGAAATGTCGTATCTCATGTCGTGTGCCGTGAATTAAAGAAGCTGTTCATTTTTCATTTCTGTACGTCAATGTGGGTTCGTCCAAGGGCTTTCTTTATTTTTTATTGAAACCCCCACCCCCCTTACCCCGCTGCTTGCCGCCCTGCCCTTCCGCCTTGGCTTCGCGGTGACTCGGCCCGCTGCGCCAAAAGGTTGCCGACCACTGATATAGTGGAACACAAGTATACTCGCACGCAACGCCACTGACCAAGAAACTCATTTGTTGCGGTGTAATTTCAAGGACTAAAGCGAGCGTTTTCTTTTTACCTCTCGTTCGCAAAACTTGATGGCGTAGCGGGGGGAGGGGGGGGGGGGGGGGGGTCGCAGTGTCTTCATAGCACCCCTCAGTAACGATATTTGAATGCGGCTGCTGGTTCACACTGCCCATACATCATAAGTTAGGGTCACACTGCTCACACACCAAACAAAAGACAGCCTGCAAACACGAGTTACCGCAATATCCGTGGTTCGAATGCCGCCTGCCAAATTTCTGTTTGAACTCATTGCCGTGCGGCATTCGATGCACGGACCTCGCGGTGACTCGCGTTCGAATCTCAGTGTAGCCTATATTCAGGATGATGTATAATCAGTGTGACCCCGGCTTTAAGATAGTCCAGCAGATGACAAAACCTGAGAAATGGTCTTAGGTCGGTTAACACAGCACAGTTTGGTTACGTTGCGTTAGGTTAAGATGTTCTTTGAACTTTGACATTCACACAATTCATTTCATTTTATTAATTTTATCTCAAAGGCCACTAGTGATGCATACATAGGGGTTGAAATATTGTTGGTGAAATGAACTCTTAAATAATTCGCTGTCGTTTATAGCGATTGACTCTGTGCATGTGCTGGTACGACTGAATATAGTTAAAGAGAGAACGTCTCGGCAAGTCTGGTCAGGAGAGGACTGTACTGTACGCCTGTTCTGTGCTCCTGTTATGTGCGGCTTTAGCAGTTACTGTATTGTCATATTACAAAACAGTCAACCAGCCCAACAACCAACCAGCCCAGCAAGCTATCAAGTTACTGTATTGTTTTACTCTTTCATTACGCAAGCCCTCCACAAATGCCTCACGCGTCAATAATGCGTATATACTGAGAAAACCAAAATGCGCTTATACAACACTCTCGAAAGGCAACCCTAAGCACGGCGATTTCAGCCGTGACAGTTGAGTTGTACGACAAGCGCTGCATAATATGATTTAAAAAAGAACGACAAAAAAAATAAAACAGAGTAAAAATTGATGATTAGGCGGATCCAGGGCACTAAGCACGGAAGCCTTCTAGTTGGAGGTGGAGCATTCCCCGGCGAATTCGAGGCACTTCACCGGGTTGACGAATAAAAATGCCTGAATCAAGTGCACTCTCTTCTTTTCTTTCATTTCTCGCGCGAGCACGGTCGTATGAAAACGGATGCTCAAGCAGCTCTCGAACACACCCCCCGGTGCAGGGGCGTCATTGTAGCGTCACAGGAGGGCTGACGACGCTGCCTCAGTGCCGTGCTTGTTTTGGGCATTTTTTCGCGCGTTGAGATTCTACTTGAACAGTAGTCGGCAGTCTCTGTACCCTAACCGTCGCATGGATTTTCCGATCAGCATTTACGGCGGTTCTAAATCTGCGTCCTTTTACCGAGTTTCTCGAGAGGTTATTTCAACAGAAATGTTGCCTGTCCATGCGTTTTTGTTTTGTTTTTTCATCCAAGCTAAGTAGACGTGTCTCGTAAGATGTGTTTTAATAGCTTACTGGGTTATTTAGATGTTTCAATGTCTTTTTCTTTTCTTGCGTTCTTAATGTGAGCCTGGTGTGCGGCTTTTACAGGTATACTCCTATATAAAAAAAGTGTTCGATTTTTGTTTGCAAAATATTACGGCAAATAAAAAATGTCCTCGTTGTCATGTGCAGAAAATGCGTGAAACAATGCTGCCCATGCTTTACGCAAGAAATAACAGCTCAGTCCGCCGTACTTAATAAATTGAACCCAGTAGTGAAATGTAAAAACTCTCTTTGGTTAGCAGGGTGAGAATAAAAATGACTTGAAGTTGTAACGATATATTTTGTTTAGTTTTGTTAATCCTGTTTGCTTCTTTGTATAACTAGTCTTCAGTGAGTCGAAATATACACATCAATGAATCATACTGACCAAATCAGAGTAAAGTTCAAAAGCCATCGAAAGACAAATGTTGATATATGAGAATAATTGTGCTCCAGTTTACGACAATACACGTACAAAGCGTCGTTCGCACAATAATTATCTAGGGACAAACGCTGTTAAAATCAGCACTACACAATTTTGCGAGGCATGGTAGAGGTTTCCGAAAGTTACATGATGCAGTGTGAAATAAACTTTATAGGTGCTTGTGGCGATCTCAGCTAAATAAAACTGCCCTCCCGTTACAAGTGGCAAGCACTGAAAGCTCTTGCAGCGTGTCGACGGGTGGTTGGCGTAAAAGTGTACCTTTTTCTCAAAATTCCCAGACCATAGCATTAAGCATTTTTGATAGGTGATTATCTTCGAGCGCAGACCTTTTTATGAAGCATTGTGGCTGGTGCATACCATGAGCATTGTGAGCGATTGCGTTCTGCGGATCATCACCGAGTCCACAGCGCTTTCCGGTTAAGGTACTGGCGCTGCCTGCGCCATTTCTCATGTTTGGCGTACCTTGAGAGAAATAGCGTGTATAGGAATTACAGAAAAATAGGTAAATGTATATCAGACCAAGTTATACGGTTGCGCTAGTCTCATTATTTTCTTTCTCAGTTTTTTACAATAATTTACGTCTTGTCGCCAGGAAGTCCGCCAATATATCACGAGTTGCACGCGCCAATGGACCTTTTCCACATACCGACGACTCCAGGCGGTGGCTGCACGAACTCAAAATCGGGGAAGTGACCTACCTGCGCTACCAATCGATACCGGGAGCTACGCTACCAGTTTCTTCGCTCCCCGAGCAGCGGCGCGTGCCCAACGCGAGCTTAAAGATGGGCATCCGTGGCGTCCACCTAATCGTTGTGTTTTTCCTTCCGTCCACTTTCTTTTTCTGTGTAACCTAATTATATATATGCTGCAATTACCTGTTCTACACGCTTATCCACAGGCTCATTCCGAATTTCCTCGATTTTTTGTTCCGACTTCCGCCGCTTGGCATCGGGCGCTCGCGCGTGCGCAGAACGCTTCTCGGAAAAGATCCATTTACACATGGCAGGTTGGGGTACGGAAACGCCGGAATTGGCACTCAGCTTCAGTTTTTATTTTTTATTTATTGTATTTTAAGTCTCCTGATAAGATCAACGTTTCGCAGTTCTTACGAATGCCGATAATAACTGTAGTGTTTACTCATGAGACACGTGCAACTCCAGTGCCAGGAGCGCGTCTCCCACTGGTGTATTTAGCGTCCTTTCCTGTCCATGTGTCGAAAGCGGTCATAAGATAGAACAAATGACGTCACAAAATCCGGAGTGTCTCTAGATGTCGGATGTCGCGATCCTGGTGG